CCCCCCTGGGGGGGGGGGGGGGGGGGGGGAGGGGGAGAGTGGGGGAGGAGGGCGCTCCTCCCCGTTTGGTGCCTTTTGCCTTTATATGAAGTGGTGTGGGGGTGGGGGGGGGCTTTCGGCCAGTTGTAAAGTTTGCTTATTTTTGTTGAAGGGGCGGAAATAATCTTGGTCCGCCCTTGGTGTCACTAACCCTAGTTACGACGCTGGTGGCACGAACCCTAATTACGTCACTGGGTGCATCTAGATAGCGATTTTTAATTTATTAAATGAAAATTTATCTCTAAAATTTGAGTTTAAGAAGAAATAAAAATGTTGTACAGCGCCGTGTTATGCCATCCATACAGGATACGAACGTGTATTTTGATGCCAGTGTTATTGGGTATTTCGAAATGAGAATGCATAGGACCTGTCAACAAACCACGATCCGTAATCGGGGTCGCAGGTCATAAAACACTCCTGTGTGTGTGTGTGTGTGTTTGTTTATACCATTTTGTATAACTCGAAACCCATGTTTCCTTTATGAAGAGGCTTTCCGATCGTTTGATTTCTTCTACTGTATTGTTAACCCGGGGGAGGGGGGTGTGGGGGGATTGCTTGTGCGTTGGGATGAAGGGTATAGTTTTCAGAAAGAAAAGTTCCGCTTCAAGATTGGATACTCTCTAGTCAAACGTAGCACATTTGCAAATTATCGTGCGTAAAGGAGTAATTAACTATACATTGGTCGACTGGTCATAGTAAATGTGTACACGTTTGACGAGCCGGAGTCATGGAGTCGGCACATTTCGATGGATATTTCAATAAAATTGTGGGGTCGTGGTGCTCCATTTGAATTACAGCAAAATTTTGTTTAAAACAATTATGAATTTTGACGACGTCCTTCTGTTATTAATCATCCGAAATTGAGAACCCTTGTGTGCCAACATGTCACATAATTAGAATTATTCCGAAATTTGTATTGTCTTCCGATTAAATTTTGTTGGTAGTGTAATATGGATGTGGAAAATCAGATTTTAAAATAAAATATTAGTTATTAATTTGATGTAAAGACCAAAAGTATTTTTCATTTTATTTTGTAAAGTCAAATCCAATACAGCTTTAACAAAAAAACAAAAAAAAAACCAACGAAAAAAACCAACAAAAAAAAAAAAGCCAACAACTGGAAGTCTCTGGACCAAACAAGCTTTTCATTACACTTTTAATCTGGTCAGGGTTAAAGTATTACTTGTAAAGGTCGTGTGAAGACGAAGTAGAGTCACATCCTTTATTCCCGTGGGATTGCCACGGTTTTGGCTGCTATGAAGGAGATTGCATAACAAACTGGGAGGTGTGAAAGAGTATGTGGCTAATTTTCGGTTGAGTTCAGGTCAGCCGTGGTCGTGGAGTGCGAACCGGCGTTGTTACTTTTAAGACTCACGCGTCTTCAGCTTGACTCTGGATTAAAAAAATATGGCCAGGCAGAGGCGTTTATTGAGTCTGTAAAAAATGAACTGAAAGAAACTATCAAAACGCGCGTACTTCCAGATTCGTAGACATGCCAGCGTGTTTGTCATTAGCATCGTTGCCCAGGGTCAAACTCAAGTCATTGTGTAGCTAGAAGCGACCGACGAATCATTAATCATTTGTTATTTTATTTATTTATCAATTTCAATTCCAGACGACCAAAGACAGACGGATATTGAATTGGATGATGGATACGGATCATCCCCCTTCAACGATACCGCCGGAGAGCAATCCCCTCCCCACGGATGTCGCAAGAGGGGCGCTGACCCGCTGGACTTTCTGCTGGATCCCAGTGACCTGGACGATGGGCTGAACGGTTGGTCCAGCAGACTTGACGAGGTTGGGCTGCCGGCCTCGGTGCTGAGCACCCTGGAGCAGCAGTTCCTCTCGGACAACAACCGCGCCGGTTCGAAATCTCAGCAAGAGAAACTCAAAAGGTACACAGAGGGTCTCGAGCGGGGGATGATAGACTTCCTCACCCAAAGCGTCTTTTTGGATCCCGCTAAAGATCCATCGCCACCCTCACACCAAAACGTGAGCCCTGCCTTGAAAAGGGGAGGAGTTCTTACCTCTGCCAACAAAAGTGAAGCAACAAAAGGCAGCATCTCCACGAGGATCAAGCCAAAGTCAACATCTGCGTCGGCGTCATCGGAAGCTCCTCCAAACTCGGCAGTTGCCCGAAACAAGGGGGCATACGACAATTTACCCAGTCCCTCGGGGGAAGGCATGCTGTTGTTGGAGGCTGCTCAAGGGTTCATGGTCATGCTCGACAAACAGCTGAGGATTCTGTTCGTGTCTGACAATGTTTCACATCACCTCGGCTACCAGCAGGTAAATTAGCTCGGTTCTAGTTATCATTACAATAAAAAAAAATCTGTTGGAGATAGGCAGATAAAGTATTTTATCTGTTCACTCGCCTAAACTCTTTAAACGGTGCATACAGTTTCAGTTATCCTCAACATCACAATACAATTATTTAGAGATTACACCTATGTTAACCATACTATTAACAGAATACATGGAATATTAACAATCTGACATTTTTATGTAAATATATTTATATATATTGTGTGTACATTGTTTCTTGAGTGTGTCATTTTGGCATCGTCTTAGTATAATTATTCTTTTTAAAAAAATTGATCAAAATCTGTTAGGGGAATATTGGTTGAGGCCAATTTTGTAGATTACCATTTCATCCACTTGCTAGATAAAGTTTTTTTGTGTGGTAATTTGATCGCACATTTCCACTTGAATTCCATGTACACTTGTCACCATTGGACACTTTACTTAAAATCCATTTAGGGTTAGGTTTTATGATTAGGGTTTAGTGTTCTTCTAAAGTCTAAGGGGGTAGTCTATAACCCATTGATGTAATGGTGTGCATCATTTTTGTAAACTACTGCCTATTTTGGTCCTTTTAACAGGTGAACATGCTGGGACAAAGTATTGATGATTACATTCACCCTAAAGACCTGACAGATCTTCTGGCTCACCTGAAGGGTGAACAGTTTCAACCAGGTAAGCACGAATTGTCTGTAGAATACTTTTATCTTTAGTGGCCGGGTTGGGGGGGGGGATTGACCTCTAATCAACGGAAACGACGATCTCTTGTAAATGATTGAATGACAAGACCGGTGTCTTTAAGTCATGTTAGTCTTAAGTGAATGAGTGATGTGGTGAGTGGTTGCTGAGCCGTGGTTAGTGAGCTGTGGTTAGGTGAGCTGTTACTGTTGAGCACTGATTGGTGAGCTGTAGTTGGTGAGGTATGTTTGTTGATTTGAGGTAGCTGATCTATGTTTAGGTGATCTGTGGTTGGTGAGCTGTGAACTTTGAGATTGAATAGGTTAGTTTTACTGTGGTGAAACATTCACAGCAGGAACACATCTGCATTCTTGGGTCCGAGAAAGTGGGAATTAAACAGTGGTAGAAAACCTGTTTTGCCGTCTGTTGGTGTCATCCGGTGTCCGTTGGTGTATGGTGTTGTCTCCGTCTGTTGGTGTCATCCGGTGTCCGTTGGTGTATGGTGTTGTCTCCGCCTGTTGGTTTCATCCAGTGGCCGTTGGTGCATGGTGCTGTCTCCGTCTGTTAGTGTCATCCGATGTCCGTTGGTGTATGGTGTTGTCTCCGTCTGTTAGTGTCATCCGGTGTTGGTGTATGGTGTTGTCTAAAAAGCTGAGATTAAACACTGGAAAAAAATGTGTTAAAATATTTTGCATGTTAAAACCATCATAGCAAAAAGCATTTTTTGGGGGGGGGGGGGGGGGGGGGTGTCGGAAATGTACGCATTAATAAAATGTTAATGGCAACGCTCAATATTTGTGTGTGTGGGTGTGTGTTCCACGATCCCACAAATCGGAGACAATGCCGTGTAAACTGTGTAGTGTTTTCTGGATCTCATGGTGAGCGTATATGCGTGTCCATTAACCGGGGCGAATATTCCCAGTAATGCGATTCAAACACACATGACCTGTGGGGAAAGAATTATATCAGAAATAGAAATTAATGCTATTACATGCTCGAGCCCCGACAATATCATCAGCTATAATAATAAGGATCCACTGAGACATAGTGTTCATATATTTACAAATCCGAAGCGGGCACATACGCTTAATAGTATACGAGGATAACAAGTGGTCATGTTAACAGACACTGTTGATACTGTATATAGTATCAGTGGCGTGACTAGGGTTAGTTCCGCCCGGGGCGAACCGAGAATTTTAGCGCCCCCCCCCCCATCCACGAAATAAACTGCAGTTGGACAAAAATGCCGCCCTTAGATATAAAGAAAATAGGTGTGTCCCCCCGTCGTCCCCCCCCCCCGGGCGGACCGTCACCTCCGCCTCTGTACAGTCTGTAATGATAAAGACATATCAAACAATAGGAGCCGGGGCATTTAAACACTTATTTAATAGTGCAGATGTTACAAGCTCTAATTAAAAGACATCCTAGTCAGCATTGATAATCACAACATTCCTTCTAGGGATGCTTACAGTCAAATAGAAACGATAGCTTTTATATTCTATGACCATAATGTACCAGTGGTGCTCAGATTCTACCAGCCATCAAGGTTCCCAAACTACGGCCCACGGGCTAGATCCGTATTGTTAGAATTGGAAATGCAAAACCCGCCTACACTCACGGGTCATATTAATAGAACAATTATTAAATTCTTTAAATTTGCCTCAAGTTGGAATCTCAGAAACAGCTAGTAGTGAACTTTTTTTTTCTGTTCCTCACAAAAAAACCACAAAAAACATAGCCCGGAGCTATTTAACTGATAAAAAATTAGCTCTGGCTAAACTAAAACAATCTGCATTGATATTAAAAAACAATTTATTGAAAACAACTTATTATCATTTCGAAAATGGAAGGACAGGGATCCAGATAAAATAAAAAGATGGCGGCATAGGTATTTCTAGATCCGGCCGTAGGAAAATTCGAAAGTGGTTTTAATTTGTAATATTTTGACTATAAGAAGATGCTTTTGGTGTAAGATTATCCTCGGTCTAAGGTGGCACCTTAATCGGTCGCTTAGCCAATTGTTGCAACCCTACCTGAGAACAGTGACCAACAAGGAAGTCCCGTATTCACGAATGAAGTACCTAATCTAAGTACGTCCTTTATTCACTAACTAGGACATACCACTATAAGTAGTACCTGATCTAAGGACGTCCCTTATTCACTGACCAGGACGTACTGTGTTTATTCAATAACTAGGACATACCAATATATGCAGTACCTAATCTAATGACATCATTTATTCACCAACTAGGATGTTCCACTGTAGGTAGTACCTGATCTAATGACATCCTTTATTCACCAACTAGGGCATTGCACTGTAGGTAGTACCTGATCTAATGACATCCTTTATTCACCAACTAGGGCATTGCATTGTAGGTAGTACCTAATCTAATGACATCCTTTATTCACCAGCTAGGACGTTCCACTGTAGGTAGTACATGTACCTGATCTCCCACGGGTCAGAGGTCTGCTTAGTATCTCCATCACCATGCCAACCGTCGGCCACTTTGTGCGCCGCGCTGAACGCCGACCTAACGAGTCCCAGTGTTGCCGGGGAACTCGCGTTACCTGCAATCAAACGGAGGGAATTAGCAAGTAATGGGGGTGGCGCTGAACATAATCACCCAATTAACGAATCCTGTAATCAAAGATTATTGAGTCAAGTAATGAGGGGGAGCATTTCCTGTTCACAGATTGCACATCTTGTTAGAAGATGAAGTTCAGTTACCACGGCAGATCTGAAAAGAATATGCGTATGCCATGATGAGTTTTCTTTTTAAATAAACAAATAATGTGCGATTCTACATATTTTTTTTTCGTTGTTGTTTTGCAATCTCGTAGTAGACTTTCCAGGTAGCTCAATTAACGAATGTTGATTATTTAAAGTTGTTCATTAATTCGTAACCAGACTCGCAGTAGTCGGGCCATCTTGTTGTTGTTGTTGTTTTTAAAAATTAATTTTTGTTGTTCTTGTTGCTTTGTTTCATGTTGTTTGCTTTGAAGATCAGTCAGACGTTGAAAGTAAATCGTTTAGGTAAATTATGGGTTGTAATTTAAAAACGCATAACGCATTGGTTACTAGATGATGTTTGGGAATACTTGTCGTCTCAAAATGCTATTGCGTTTTTTAGTTAATTTTTTTTTTTTTTTTTTAAATCCCGAAAATAAAATTGAAAAAAAAATTAGTGTTGAACAGTGTTCTAAAATATAAAAAGATTACATTCTTTTTTTTTTTAATTTTCTGAAGATTATTACAATAATGGTTCTCTTGAAATTTGTGTTTATTTTTTTCCTGGTAGCTCTAAACAAAGCAGCTCTCCTGATACGTGCATGTAAGAAATTGACTTATCAATCTATGGGTAATGGCTCTATTGCAAGTAGTCAACCGGAGATCCATCCACGAGCACTAAGCCGTGGCAAGTCCACTGGAGATCCACCCATCAGCACTAAGCCGTGGCAAGTCAACCGGTGATCCACCCACGAGCACTAAGCCGTGGCAAGTCCACCGGTGATCCACCCACGAGCACTAAGCCGTGGCAAGTCCACCGGTGATCCACCCACGAGCACTAAGCCGTGGCAAGTCCACCGGTGATCCACCCATGAGCACTAAGCCGTGGCAAGTCCACCGGTGATCCACCCATGAGCACTAAGCCGTGGCAAGTCCACCGGTACTGCTCAATTTCATAAAAGTGCTACAGCTAGTGATGTTCATCTCCATTAATGTTGAGTCTAACGCTGGCGTCAATTTGGAATCGAGGAGATCGGTACCAGGGTACCAAATGACGCGATGAAATTCTAGAATAACTCCTCTCAACATGATCTTCCCCCACTGTCTTTTATCGGATGCCATCCGCCACCAGATGCTCCAACGAGATTTAGGTGGGTGCTGCGTTGGAAAGCCGAGATGGGGGTGTTGCGGAAGAAATCTATCGCTTATTGAAGCTTGTCATCTTTGTAAAAAAAAAAAAAAAAAAAAAAAAAAAACTTGAATGGCAACGGAGGGTTGGGAGGATGGCGGTAGGTTAGAAAATAAGAAATCGATCAACAGAACGGGACTGACAGAGTGGTTCCCAATTAGCCATCGATATAATGACATAGAACAGACAGCTATGGCAATGCGCCTCCCCCCCCCCCCCCCACCCCCCACCCCCCCCCCCCCCCACCCCACCACATGACATAGAACAGACAGCTATGGCAATGCGCCCCCCCCCCCATTCCGCGCTCCCCCCCTCCCCGCTGCGGCCCATCGGAAACTTGTTAATGGAACTCTTTATCGGAGACAAAGTCTAAAAGGAATTAGGTTTGTTACCACTTCGGTGACTTTAATGGGTTGATTTTTTTTCCTTCTTGAGCATATTGTCAGTGACTTGTCCCTTTCGATATTAAATTAAATCTTTCTGTTGTTGCTGTATTGTTGCTCAGTTGAACCGTCGCGTCCTATTTATCATTCGTGAAGACTATTGTTGCCTCAACTTCAATTTGGCCTTGTCAGCTGTTCCCGAGCTTAAGACACAAATCTGTTGAGTCGTGACCCAAAGTTGATCTGTTGAGTCGTGAACCCAAAGTTGATCTGTTGAGTCGTGACCCAAAGTTGATCTGTTGAGTCGTGAACCCAAAGGTGATCTGTTGAGTCGGGGCCCAAAGGTGGTCTGTAGAGTCGTGACCCAAAGTTGACCTGTTCAGTCATGGCCCACAGTTGATCTGTTGAGTCGTGACCCAAAGTTGATCTGTTGAGTCGTGACCCAAAGTTGATCTGTTGAGTCGTGACCCAAAGTTGATCCATTGAGTCTCATAAGAACTACTTGTCAATCCGTGAATTGTATTTCAAAATTCTACCCCCCTCCCCACACACACACTTTTTTTTCTTCCTTGTCTGTGCGTCTTGTTGCCAAGAAATTGAAAACATTTGGTTTGGATGCCCAGAAGTTTGTGAACCAAAGATGCAGGTGTCGTGCCAGCTTCTTGTGTAGCTGAATAGCATTGCATTAAG